GAGGAGGAACTCATCATCTCCAGAAGGACAGAGTGACATGGTGGAGGCAGTGAAACAGCATATTCTCAACATGCTGCATCTGAACACTCGACCCAACTTGACACAGCCGGTTCCCCGCGCTGCGGTTCTCAATGCCATCAAAAAACTACACGTGGGCCATGTAGCTGAAGATGGAAGTGTGGAAATCCAAGATGGAAGCAAGAGTGCTGGGACGCCAACCCTCACTGAACCACCATCTGAGATCATCACCTTTGCAGAGCCTGGTGAGTCCACCTTCCCTCCAGTATGAAATGTTTACGGTGACTTTAGAAGGACAGTCCGAGTCTCGGTCAGAATGAAACAGTCGTGTCGTAAACTCTCCTTCACCGCTCAAACGTTCTCTAACCACTCTGAGATCCACCAAGCTCCGAGGTCCTCAGTCTCTCTAAACCCGGCTTAGTCTCAGCAGATGACGGTCAGTCTGGTTCTGCTCGGGGTTTCTGCCTGTTAAAAGAGGTTCTTCCTCTCTTCTGTAACCTGATACAGAATTTCACTCACCTGGTTGAAGATCAGGATGGGAGTGGGTCTGATCTTAAGGTCTGATCATCAAGATTATTGAGGGTCTAAAAGTGACACAGATGTTGACTGAGGTCTTTCTTCTTTATCTTACAGGAGGAATGTCCAGTATTGTTAAAGGAGGGCAGGGTGAGGGTGAATGTGTGGATGTGGAGTGAAGGGGTGAATACAGTGTTCATGGGTTGGTGGGACATACAGTCTTCAAGAGCCCAAAGAGAGAGACGTGGGTCGGTTTTAGTTTTCAGTTGTGGGAGCTGCGGTTGTGCGAACAGAAGTCAAAGTTATCTGACGATGTCTCATCTCCACGACACGACGCTTTATTTTGAAATCTTCACAAAAATCGGCCTTTTATTGACAAACATGTCAAAGTCTGTGCCCGGTCGCCCCTCTGCTTATATAAACGTACAGAATGTCTTTGTGCTAAAAATAGGTTTGTCTTTCATAGGAGACTCTGATTAAAAATGTCCCTCAAATTAGAGGACAGTGGGGTGGAGGACATACCGAGGGGTCCCAGGCCGTAAATAATCCGTCCATTCAGACAAATCTGGGCCTCAGTAATTATTCTGCGAGAAGACAAAGGCTGTGTGTGTGTGTGTGTGTGTGTGTGTGTGTGTGTGTGTGTGTGTGTGTGTGTGTGTGTCAGACCCTCTAACAGCGTCCCCTTTTCTTTTTTTAGTGTCTCTGCTCACATGAATATATTTAGAGGCGGCGGCTTCATTCATGTCGTTCTGACTGATGATCAGAAACAGAAGCTTCAGATTCTCGATGACGAACTTTCAGATCGATGTTGATTATAAAACACACTCAGAATTTGGGGGCGGAGCATGACTCCCGTAAATGTGCTCCTTCACTGACACGAACGTTTTTCTGTGCTGCAGGAGACGCTCCAAACTCGGTGACCTTTGACATCTCCACGGACGAAGGCTCATCATTGGTTGAACAGGCCAACGTTTGGATCTTCCTGAAGGTGTCGAAGGGAAACCGAGCGAAGGGCAAAGTGGTGCTGCGGCTGCTTCATCGCCACAGTGATGATGAGAATGGTGGCGTTGAGAAGGACAGTATCTCAGAGAAGATGGTTGACACTCGGCGAAGTGGCTGGCACGCCTTTGCCGTCTCTCACCATGTTCAGACTCTGTTGGATGGCGGCGGCAGCTTGTTTGACCTGCAGGTGTCTTGCCCGCTGTGTGCTGAGGGCGGGGCCTCACCCATCCTGGTAACAGGATTTGGGGGCGGGGATCAGTCTCACCGACCTTTCCTCATGGTGGTGCTTCGACCCCTGGAAGAGGTCACCCAGAGGCGGGTCAAACGGGGTCTGGAGTGCGATGGGAAGACGAGACTCTGCTGCAAACATCAGTTTTACGTGGACTTCAAAGACATCGGCTGGAGTGACTGGATCATCGCTCCGTCTGGTTACCATGCCAACTACTGTGAGGGTGACTGTCCAAATCACATGGCGAGCTTCAGTGGCTCGTCTCTGTCCTTCCACGCCACCGTCATCAACCATTATCGCCTTAGGGGCCACAGTGCGTTTCAGAACACGCGGTCGTGTTGCGTGCCCACGAGGCTGCGCGCCATGTCGATGCTTTACTTTAACGAGGAGCAGAAGATCATCAAGAAAGACATTCAGGACATGATCGTGGAGGAGTGTGGCTGCTCGTAACCATGGAGACCTGTCCTGTCTTATGCACATGACCATTTTTAATGTTTAGTAACAAACATGGCGTCCCTTACAGATGGAGTCTCTTTCAAAGGAGTTTTGGTCCTTAAGGGCCACCGTAGCTTCTTCAGCAGGACAGGCGAGCGAGGGAGCGTTTCAGTCTGGACTCCATGTGGTGGATTCTCACCTCTGTTCCTTTCCTCTGATTTCCTCTGTTATTGTGATGAACTGAGACTCAGAGGAGATCCATCGATCGGTTCATGACTGAAGGTCTGAAATGTTTTTCTCAGTATTTGACTGTGAAGTCATTTTTACTGTTAAATGTTGTTTATTATGAACTGTGACAGAAATTTGATTGAACTGAAACCAAAGACGACACTGATGATGGAGGTAAAGTTACTGCTGCTCTTATCATCGTTATTAGTAGTAAAAACATCGGCTCTAGTGTTACGACAGTTTTATAAAATACATTAGCAGCTTTTTTAAAACTTCTTTGTTACAAAAATTATTTGTATAATTTATTGTTTTTTTTAGGTCATTAAACGAACTGTTTGTCAACATTTTTTATTATGTCTCTTTTTTCAACAACAATCAGAACACACTTTTTCTTGGTGCGTATCTTTAGCGGAATAACTCCTGTGTAATTTGCAGTATTGATTAGAATGGGAACCTATTTTCTGTATGAGATGTGACGCTGACGAAACATTCTCAACACGTTTCCTGTCGGATTTAGGCTTTAAGAACTGACAAAGTACACACAGCAAGAATAAATGTACAATATCACAAATAAACCATAAAACACACAAAAAAATGATCATTAACACTTAAATATGTCATTAAAAAGAATTCAGGAGTTTGTGATTAAACTTTGACAGAAAACTGCAGAGTGAAAATCTGAACAATTTAACCAACAAGTCTCTCTGCGCTAAACGGACTGCTGGGACAAAGTACCGTACAAACAAACAAACAAATAAACAAACAAACAAACAAACAAACAAACAAACAAATAAACATACAAACAAACAAACAAACAAACAAACAAACAAATAAACAGACAGACAAACAAATGAACAAATAAACATACAAACAAATAAACAAACAAACAAACAAACAAATAAAAAAACAAACAAACAAATAAACAAATAAACATACAAACAAACAAACAAACATACAAACAAATAAACAAACAAACAAACAAATAAACAAATAAACATACAAACAAATAAACAAACAAACAAACAAATAAACAAACATACAAACAAACCAACAAATAAACAAACAAACATACAAACAAATAAACATACAAACAAATAAACAAACACACAAATAAACAAACAAACAAACAAACAAACAAACAAGCTGAACTAAGTCTCCTCCATCATGATACTCCAGCCCAGGCCCTCTGGTTCATGCTGTACTATACCTAAACCACAAGAGGGCAGTATCAGGTCAGATGTTCTTCACACTGAGGGGTTCTTCTAAAACATCGACTGAGAAACTGAGAAGAAGAAACCGGCCGACAGCGAATAAGAGAAACAGAAACACTGACAATAAGAACCATAAATAACAACATCGATATAGAAATACCAAAGTCACCGTCATCATCATCATCATCTTCATCATCATCATCATCATAACCATCACTATCACTCACCATCATCATCATCATCATCATCATCTTCATCATTATCTTCATCATCCTCATCCTCATCATCATCATCATAACCATCACTATCATCCTCACCATCATCATTATCTTCATCATCATAACCATCACTATCATCCTCACCATCATCATTATCTTCATCATCATAACCATCACTATCATCATCATCATCATCATCATCATCATCATCATCATCATCATCATAATCATCATCATCACTATCACTATCATCACTTTTAGCATCATCATAATTTTCACCTCTCACGCTTGTTCCGCCATCTTCCTCTCTACTTTCTTCGGTTGCAGAGCAGGTTTTCGGGTTTTCAGGTTTTTCAGGTTTTCAGGTTTTCGGGTTTTTGGGTTTTCAGGTTTTCGGGTTTTCAGGTTTTCGGCGTCGTTTCTTGGATTTTTGATGAAGGGAATCTTACTTTGCCTGAAAAAGCCGTTTGGATCTTCTCTGGGGTTTACAGCGATGAGAGTTTTCTCCTGTAGAAAAATGATCATCGAACACGTAGAAAACAAAGAAAAGGTGAAATTCACTGGAGCGGGGATCCAAATGGACCTGTTCTGGTTTTCTCTGCAGACTCTGACACGATGACTTTTGTATATTTCATATTTAATGTTTGAGCATTTATAAACTTTTTCAGTCACCTCTCTGGCAGTCAGTATTTTAAAGCAGCCAATCAGAGAGCAGCAATGTAACGCTGCAGAGAGCGGCCTGACTCTTACAGTCAGTGACAGTGTGAACATGCAGACGAGTGAGGAGGAAGAGATCGAGAAAAACGTGATGAAAGGTGGACGATCGTCATGTGAGTCAAATTCAAAGAGCTATTTCTGTGTGTGGGCAGGCTGCTGGACACGTCAGGCCTGATAACCTCGACACCACCTCCACCACAAACTGCTCTCAGACTCGCCCCCGCTCTCCGCTTCAGCAGCTCCTTCACAACCAGAGTCTGCAGAGACGCTCTGAAACAACCTCATCCTGATTTATTTATAGATTCATGATCAGGGTGACGAGTTATTGGTTCAAACTCTGTCTCTATTCTGTCCATCTGTGTTTGTGAGTCCGGCTCCACCTTTAACAGGACCGGATCAGCCGTTCATTATAAGGGGAGACAACAGGGAGCGTCATGTGGACCGTCCATCTCCACCTGCTGGTTCAGGGTCCATTTTATCAGAACACACAAACACACAAACACACAAACACACAAACACACAAACACACACAGAGGAACACTGCACATCCTTCATCAAATAAAACACGGACTGATAAAAACTTTATTAAATCAAAGACACTGAAGTCTGTTTGAACCCGTTACACTCGGACTAACCCGAACCGACCTAAAAACACTAAAAACACTCCACGACCCGAACGCAGCAGAGCGACATTTGAAACAGGAAGTCAAGTCACTCAATCACAACAAAACCGTTTTTCATGATTTCACGATCGTCGGCAGATCAGATCCTGCTCAGGTGAAGGTGAAGGTGGTCTGTCCCGTAAAACCGAACCCTGACAAACAAATCTAAACTTAAAGAACCGAAAAGGATTCTGGGTAGGAGGACCGGACTAAGATGGCGGCCGTATCACCCGAGCCCCAGCAGCCGATGAAGCATCTACTCTTTATGATATCTATGATCAGTCGGGGGGGGGGATTCAGGTTAGACACGGTTCCGGTTCGGGCTTTATGGTTTAGTAAGAGGGTCGGTTCTAGTGCGGAACCTCAGAGTCCGTTTGGATCCAATACAAGAATCCAACATGGCGACGACGCCGGGTCACGCTGCAGCACGTATTGAGGCATCTATGTGTTTTATGTCTATGGTAAAGAGGCAGAGCGGAGCCGCCAGAGGGCGCTGCAGCCCGCACCACCGGAGCAGGAGAGTGTTTCCGGTTCCGGTTCAGTGTGTTGTTGTGCCCAGCAGCTGGACCCCGAAGACCACATACTGGTCTACCAAAGACCCCCTCCAGGTCCTCTCCAGGTCTCCTCCAGCCGCTCTCATGTACCGGGTCCCGGTCAGACCTCAGCGGAGTCCCGGACCTCCTCGGCCGGTCGGAAGGTTCCCCTCCCCGGCCCCCTGCTGGGGGTTCGGTTCCGGACCTCGCGGTGGATCTCCCGGTGGTGGTCCGACCTTCTCCCCGGGGTCCCCTGTCTACTCTCCGGCCTTCTCTTCGTCCTCCTCCCGGGGGTACAGGGACGGGTCTCGGGGCTCCGGGGGTCCGATGTGGCGCAGAGGGGGGGGCGGGTTTCGGCGGCCTCAGTCCTTCAGTCCCTCAGGACCCCAGAACCAGGTGAGTCCAGAACCAGAACTCTGAGAGAACCACCTGAGACAGACATGCGCAGAACGTGATTGACAGGTCAGTTTGATTAAAGGTGATTTTCGGTCTTTGACGGTTTTTTATCTTTTATTTAAATTTTTTTAATTTAAATGTTAATTAAAGGGAAAAAAAAGATTCAGACATTAGATCAAAAATTTACAAAAGGTCGTAAAACGTCGAAAAAAAAAAACTATAAAGTGGAAATGAAAAAACTCGGAGAGGAAAAGAAGTTTTTAATTAAAGTCTAAAGAACGAAATAAGAGTCTGTGAGCGAAGTTTAACAACGAAGACGAAAAAAGACGTGATTTTAACCTCAAGATCCTCGACTTCACCCACTTAGTCTGGGTCTTTCAGGGTCCGGGTCAGGGTCAGTTTCAGGGTCAGGGTCCGGGTCAGGGTCAGTTTCAGGGTCAGTTTCAGGGTCAGGGTCAGGGTCCAGGTCAGTTTCAGGGTCCGGGTCAGGGTCCAGGTCAGTTTCAGGTGTTTCAGGGTTTACTTCAGTTTTTTTTGTGGGTGCCTTAAGCCCCTCCTCCTCCAAAACCTTCTTTCTCCTCTGATTGGCCACCTCTAACTCGATGTTTTGGCTCCGCCCTGCGTACTTGTCCGTGCCGCGGTTGTTTCCTCGGACTCTGGAGCTCAGATGAATCAGTGAGGACAGACGAGAACGCTAACTCGCTCACGTTTTCTCAAAGGTTCCTGTTTTGATCGGTTTTAATCTTTTTTCTACGTGATCGGAAACTTCGTAAACATGTCGTCTGGACAACAAACTTCGTGACTTTGCAGTTTTTGTCGTGGTGTAATTCGGGGTTCTCAGACAACCATGTGCTAGCTGCGATTTTCGCTTAAGTCATCACAACATCTGTTTTGACGATAAAAATCTTTTGGCCGAAAAACTGAAAATGAATTTTTCGGACATTTTCGTCCGAAAAATTTCAGTGTCCGTATTTTTGTCGTATCCCCGACAAATCAGAGTCATCACAGCGAATCCTGAGCAGTCGCTCTGTGGAGTCTGAAGATTTGTGTTTGATCATTTCTAATATAATAATTATGATCATAAAGTTTCTATAATTATAATATTTATAATTTAACTCAGTATCTGTGTCCCTCAGAAAAACACCGATCACTTCTTTAAATGTCGTTTCTTTTACTTTTTAATCCAAAATTTTTAAAAAAAATTTTGACCTTTTTGAACAAAAATCCAAAAGTTTCTGTTTTTGTCGAAAGTTCAGACATTTTATTTCACGTTGAAGAAGAAGTTGCTGTTACCTTTGAATGAAGTTGATGACAGTTCACACACACACACACACA